GATGTGTCAGAATTTCCTTCCTTTTGAAGGCAGAATAATAGTTCTTTGTATGTATGTACCACATTTTTTTAATCCATTCATCTGTTAGATATTTGGGTACCTTCCACCTTTTGGCTACTGTAACTAATGTTGCTATGAATATGGATGTACAAATATTGCTTCAAGATCTTGTTTTCCTAGGCACAGAAAGACAAACATTGCATAAGCTCATTTATGTGTGGAATCTAAAAAAGTGGAACTTACAGAAGCAGAGAGTAGGATGGTGGTCGGCAGAAGTTAGGGGCGGGGCGGGGAGTTACAGTATGGAGAAAGGGGAGATGTTAGTCAAAGGATACAGAGTTGTAATTAAACAGGATGAAGTTGTAGTGATCTATTGCATCACATGGAGACTGTAGTTAATAATAATGCAATATGCATTTCAAAATTACTAATAGAATTCAACCATTTCCACCATAAAAAAGTGATAAGTAGGCGAGGTGAAGAATATGTTAATTAGCTCTATTTAATCATTCCACAATGTCTACATATATCAAAGCATCACATTGTACCCCGTAAATATATACAATTATTATTGGTCAATTGAAATAAAATTATAGATTAATTTTTGAAAAGACCCTGCTTTCCATGTTTTTGGATATATTCCCAGAAAAGGTATTGCTAGGTCATATGGTAATTCTATTTTTAATTTTTTTAGTAACTGCCATACTGTTTTCCATAGCAGCGACATTATTTTACATTCCCACCAACAATGTGCAAGAGTTCCAATTTCTCCACATCCTCGCCAACGCTGTGATTTTCTGTTTCTTTGATAGCAGTCATCCTAATCGGTGTGAGGTGGGTGATATCTCATTGTAGTTTTGATTTGCATTTCCTTAACAGTTAGTCATTTTGAGCATCTTTTTTTTTTTTTTTTTTTTTTTTTTTTTTTGAGACAGAGTTTCGCTCTTGTTACCCAGGCTGGAGTACAATGGCACGATCTCGGCTCACCTCAACCTCCGCCTCCCGGGTTCAGGCAATTCTCCTGCCTCAGCCTCCTGAGTCGCTGGGATTACAGGCACGCACCACCATGCCCAGCTAATTTTTTGTATTTTTAGTAGAGACGGGGTTTCACCATGTTGACCAGGATGGTCTCGATCTCTTGACCTCGTGATCCACCCGCCTCGGCCTCCCAAAGTGCTGGGATTACAGGCTTGAGCCACCGCGCCCGGCCGAGCATCTTTTTATATGCTTGTTGCCCATTTGTATTTCTTCTTTGCAGAAACATCTATACAAATCCTTTGCCCATTATTAAATAGAGGGTTTGGTGTGTTTTGTTGTTATTGTTGTTACTATTTAGTTGTAGGAATTCTTTATATATTCCGGATGCTAATCACTTACCTAGATATATTGTTTGCAAATATTTTCTCCCATTCCATAGGTTGCTTTGTCATTCTGTGGGTTGTGTTCTGTGATGCACAGAAGTTTTTTTTTTTTTTTTTTTTCCCCTCCAATGGATCCTTGTGAAAGTTTTTAATTTTGATTTAGTCAGTCCAATTTATTTATTTTTACTTTGTGTTGCCTGTGCTTTTGATGTCATATCTAAGAAATCAATGCCAAATCCGGTCATGAAGTCTTTTTTCCCCTCAGTTTTCTAAGATGTCTGTTGTTTTAGTTCTTACATTTAGGACTCATCCATTTTCAGTTAATCTTGTGTATATGGTATAGGTAAGAATCTAACTTCATTCATGTAGATATGCATTTTTCCCAACCCCATTTGTTGAAAAGACTGCCCTTGCCTTATTGAATGATCTTGCCTCCCTCGTTGAAAATCATCTGACCATATATATAAGGGTTTATTTCTGGGATTTCTGTTCTATTCCACGGGTCTATATCTTTATCTTTATACCAGTGCCATAGTTTTGATTACTGTAGTTTTGTAATAAGTTTCGAAAAAAGGAAGTTCTTCTTTTTTAAGATTGCTGGGTATTTGGAGTCCCTCAAGATTCTATATCAATGTTAGGATGTATTTTTCTACTTCTACAAAAAATGCCATTGGGAGTTTACAGAGAGTACATTAAATCTGTAGACCACTTTGAGTAGTATTGACATCTTAGCAATATTAAGTCTTCTAATGCATGAACATGGATTTTCTTTTCATTTATTTTTGTCTTCTTAATTTCTTTAGCAACATTTTGTAGTTTTCAGTATATGAGTCTTTCACCTCCTGGGTTAAGTTTATTCCCAAATATTTTATTTTATGTTATTATTTATTTATGTATTTTGAGACGGTCTTACTCCATCACCCAGGCTGGAGTGCAGTGGCTCAATCTTGGCTCACTGCAAACTTCCATCTCCTGGTTCAAGCGATTCTCCCCCAAGTAGCTGGGATTACAGGCGCTTGCCACTCACACATGGCTAATTTTTGTATTTTTAGTAGAGACAGGATTTTGTCATGTTGGCCAAGCAGGTCTCAAACTCCTGACCTCAGGTGATCTGCCTGCCTCGGCCTCCCAAAGTGCTGGGTTTACAGGCGTGAGCCACTGTGCCCAGCCTCAAAGTATTTTATTCTTTTCAATGCTATTGCAAATAGAATTGTTTGCTTTCCTCTCTCTCACTCTCTCCTTTTTTTTTTTTTTTTTTGAGACAGAGTTTCGCTTTTGTTGCCCAGGCTAGAGAGTGCAATGGCGTGATCTTGGCTCACCACAACCTCCACCTCCTGGGTTCAAGTGATTCTCCTGCCTCAGCCTCCTGAGTAGCTGGAATTACAAGCATGCACCACCATGCCCAACTAATTTTGTATTTTTAGTACAGATGGGGTTTCTCCATGTTGGGCAGGCCGGTCTTGAACACCCGACCTCAAGTGATCCTCCTGCCTTGGCCTCCTAAAGTGCTGGGATTATAGGCATGAGCCACTGAGCCTGGCCTTTTTTTTTTTTTTTTTTTCCAGCAGTCTTGCTCTGTCTCTCAGGCTGGAAAGCAGTGGTGCGATCTCAGCTCACTGCGACCTCCAGACCTCCTAGATTCAAGAGATTCTCCTGCCCCAGCCTCCCAAGTAGCTGGAACTACAGGAACACACCACCATGCCTGGCTAATTTTTGTATTTTTAGTAGAGATGAGGTTTCACCATGTTGGCCAGGCTGGTCTCAAACTCCTGACCTTATAATCTGCCTGCCTCAGCCTCCCAAAATGCAGGGATTACAGGCGTGAGCCACTATGCCTGGCTTTTGCTTCCACTTCATTTCATTTTGAGATTGTGCATTGCCAGTGTGTAGAAATGCAGCTGATTTTGTGTGTCGATTTTATTTCTCCCAACTTTGCTGAATTGGGTTACTTGTTCTAACAGTTTTTTTATATATGGAATTTAAGTCCCTCCTGATGCCTGTCACACCTGGCCAGGAGACTCTGCTCATCCTGGCTACTTTCTTCAGTCACTTTCCCCAGGGCTTCTTATGCTACAGTCATCACTGTGTGTATCAGGAGAGAGTTGCTTTGCTATAATACAACTACTGCCACCAGCAGGACTTTCTGGCTTGGTATTTAAACTGAAAAATGGAACAGTATTTTTAGGATGGGTTTGGTCATTGGTAACCCAAGGCTGGACCTTTTCCTACACTGTCCCCAAAATCATGACCTTTCACCAACATGGAGTTGATCTGGTGTGAAAGGCCTAGAAACCAGAAACTTGAACACCTCAGGAATTTCTTTGGAACAACAGAGGCAGAGGCCTCTTCCTTGAATGGCATCCTGGTGCCCTTCCTGAAGAAGATTGTCTGGACTGATTCTGCTATGACTACTGGAATGTCAACCCCATCATTCGCTGCATTTGAATCCCTGATCTGTATGACCAGCTGCACAAGGCAGCTTCCTGGAGATGGGCCTCTGGGAGCCTAAGCCACTTTTTTTGGATTCAAAAAGCATTTGAGGCTGGGCGTGGTGGCTCATACCTGTAATCCCAACACGTTGGGAGGTCAAGGCAGGTGGATCACGAGGTCAGGAGTTTGAGACCAGCTACTCAGGAGGCTGAGGCAGGAGAATCACTTGAACCTGGGAGAAGAAGGTTGCAGTGAGCTGAGATCGTGCCATTGCACTCCAGCCTGGGCGACAGAACAAGATTCCATCTCAAAAAAAAAAAAAAAAAAAAAAAGCATTTGATAGATCAAGGAGCACTCGTTGCCAACAAGAAAATGTAGATATACCATTCAACTATATGGCTTTCCAATATGTCTCAACTCTATACTGATGCTGCCTTCTAATTCCTTCCACTCCTGGAAGGTTGAGTCTCTATGTTTGATATTCCCATCTTTCTAGGATCCTACCCACTACTCATGGGACACCTTTATTCAGACATTTCTGACTTGCCTTTTGTAGCATCTGCTTTTTACCAAAATGATAGAATTTCACCTAGAGAAAATTGAATTATTTGGGCTATATTCCATCATCATCTCTCTCTGGAGGCATTGATCAGCCATCAGAATCTTCAAGTCTGTGGATTTCGGGGGCTACTCTTAGGGGTCTGGCATGTACTTCTCTTTGAGCAGGTCTTTTAAGAAACTTATCCCACCATTTCCTGGTCACCTGAGGCTCATGGCCACTGTGACCCAGCTCATCCTCCCGTCAAACACAATCAAGGTCCCTATAAAGTGGAAAGAGGACTCCAGGATTCAAGGCGATACCTGGGAAACAGGCAGCCTAGAGCCCAGCGCATGGTAAATACTCATTTACATTTCAAACTCTATACATCCCAGTAGTCCAGATCCATAGCGTCAATGCCCTGACAGGGAAATGGGGATAAAAAAAATTTTTTTTAAGATGGAGTCTCACTCTGTCACCCAGGCTGGAGTGCAGTGGTACAATCTTGGCTCGCTGCAACCTCTGCCTCCCGGGTTCAAGCCATTTTCCCACCTCAGTCTCCTGAGTAGCTGGGGTTACAGGCATGCACTACCACACCTGGCTATTTTTATATTTTAAGTAGAGATGGGGTTTCACCATATTGGCTAGGCTGGTCTTAAACTCCTGACCTCAAGTGATCAATCCACCTAAAGTTCTGGGATTGTGAGTGTGAGCCACCACACGCTATCAAAATTTCTTAATTTGTGAGATTCTCACTGGAAAAGAGGATCCAAAAATTTCATGGGCAATGGCATGAACTTGAACTGAAAAAGCAACAAGAGGTGGAGCAGATGAAGGATCAGATCACCACTGTCAGCACAAACCTCTTTTCTGTTTTCTGGGCTCCATCTCAGCCTGTGATGTCTCTCTTCCTACACAGGGCTACCTGGATTCTGGTCCACGTTGTATGACATTTTATCTGGATGCCATCACCATTTTTCAGACCCTACCCAATGACACAGCTGCACTACAAATGAGGGCATAGCAAAGCCCCTTTGGGACTGTGGAGGCCCTAGACTCTTCTCCAGCCTCTCCCAGGCTTTCTGCAGCCAAATGCTCATACTTTAGTGTCATAACTTAGACCAATCACATGGTCTTTTGGAGTTTGATTCTCTGGCCAAATGGGGCCCATTCTCTGATGTCAAGGCAAAGCCATCAGTTTGGTCAAGAGACTCATGAAAGACCTTTCCTGACTTCTCAGGCTCCTGGACAGGATGATCTCAGATCCCCCCTCATACATATCCTGGAACTCTGTTCTCTATCTTCTAGGTCAGTAATTTCAAAGGGCTTTCCTTGGAGCCCCTCTAGGGATTGTTAGGGGAGGATCAAGCAAGACAAACTCCACCCCCTCCTTTTCTGGCTTCAGTCACAGCAGTTCTGCTTTTCTCTTACATTTTGAGCTTCATCCTAATATTTTTGTTAGAATAATGTATTCCACTGATTTTTCAAAAGGTTGGGAAATCAGTAATCTGCTCCAAGGGCACTATTCTGTGGCTGACACCTCCAGAATCAAAGCACACTCACTGGCTTGTACTCTCACTACAGAAGGTCAGTGGCGAGACCTTCTTTCCTCCGTCAGAATTCCAGCCACATGGTCATTATCCATCCCCTCCCCAAGGACCGTCAGGTAATACCTCTCTGAACAGAGGGCAGAATTTTGCCAAAACACATTCTACCTGCCCTTTATGAACTGCAGCCCCTGCCCTCCACACAGACATAGCATTGACAGACAGATAGACACCTCAGGATCCTCAAGGCAGCCTAGGCCAAACCCCACACCACCCAGGTGACATGGACACACACATAGTCTTATTGGAGATTTCTCCCCTGCTAACTTCAGTCGATTCTCAACAGTCTGTTCTTCCTTCACTATTACCCAGGCTTCAGTCTATGACTAACCTTATTTCTCCTGCACTCAGAATCCAAGGACCACGTCCTCCATCTGCCTAGCCAAGCTGGTCAAGGAGTAGAACCATTTAGGATGGGTTTTCCTGCTCTCCAAGATCTTGAAGATGAAGACAGAAGCTGGTTTCCTACCCACTCTTTCTCTCCCAACTTGTATTGTCCCCTACATGGTCAAGCTCCATCCCAAATTCAGATATTTACCTTGGTGCAGAGAAGAGCCAGACTTTAACAGCAGGCTGGACCCCTTTGCCCCAGGCTCCCAGACAGTGTTCCTGAGGCCTAACTTGCTGGATGTGCAACAAAACGCTAGTTTCCAGCCCCAGCTCTCCAGCTCTCTTCGAGGGACACAGGCCCAGCTTGTAGCCCCTTTCCTGCATCTCTGCCACTCCCATAGGAAGGAAGACCTTCTTTCACCCATAGAAAGGGTGGACACAGGGAGAGATCAGACTGGTTCTCTGGTGGCAATCCAGGTCTACAGACAGAACTTGTTCTCTCATAGCGTGAACATTTGGGGAGGCATCAGGGCAAGAGGACAGGGCAATCAGAAGGAAGGACACAGAGAGGGCACTAGAAGCTTGCTGATGAGACAGGGTGGTGGAGGGTAAGGATTCATCATGCCGGTGCTCAGTGACTGCGGATGAGGCAGTAGGATGAAAGGACTGTTTCCTGTGCTGATTCTAAATCCAGAACCCTCCTTGATTTGAGCAGGAAGGGGCATTGATTCTAGCCAGCGCTACTAGGCTGGCCATCACGGATGTACTTCTCTTCTCTGGATCCAGTCTGAATAGAAAGGCTTTTCCCCTTCCTTAATACTGCAGATTTCTGATCCGAAACAGCGTTTTCCAAACTCTGAGAACAAAAAGGTCAAACATGTAAAACAATGCATGTAGGGCTCTGCCCAGCCAAAGATATCAAGACTGCATCACTCTCGGCAAGAGCAGCCCTGAGCCTCTCTGGGTTTCCCCAGGACCCAGGTTTTCCTGATGGAAAGCTGAACTGAGTTCCCTTCTTCAGATCCTTCCCGCAGATCCTGCCCCTCAGTGAAAACCAACCCAGGAAGCCCAGGGCCTTCTCACTCCCTCTGCTTCCCAGAGTGAGACTTGTGAGCTGCCATCTTAAGTTTCTCAGGCTACTGTCAGGGGTCTAGGAAGATTTGGGGTCCCCAGGTCATTCCTGGCTTTGTCCCCAGAGGACCGAAAGCTGTTTGTGGGGATGCTGGGCAAGCAGCAGGATGAGGAGGACGTCAGACGCCTGTTCCAGCCCTTCGGCCACATCGAGGAGTGCACGGTCCTGCGGAGTCCTGACGGCACCAGTAAAGGTGACCTGAGCTGACCGCGGGATTTCCTGGTGACCCTTCCTCACTCTGGGCCACATGACTCTTTGGCCCCTGTGGCCTGAGCCACCCGCTCCCTCTGTCCTGCCCCAGGCTGTGCCTTTGTGAAGTTCGGGAGTCAAGGGGAAGCTCAGGCGGCCATCCAGGGTCTACACGGCAGCCGGACCATGGCGGTGAGGGCGGGTTCCCCGGGTGAGGGTGAGCCTATTGGGGTGGGGACTGGCTCCCTCTCCCCAAGTGCGCTCGGTGCCGGGGGAAAGGAGCTGATGGGGAAGGGCCATCAGGGCCGGGGCCAGGGTCAGAACCGGTCACCACGGCCTCCCCTGCCCTGCTTAGGGTGCCTCGTCCAGCCTCGTGGTCAAGCTGGCAGACACCGACCGGGAGCGCGCGCTGCGGCGGATGCAGCAGATGGCTGGCCAGCTGGGTGCCTTTCACCCGGCGCCACTGCCGCTGGGGGCCTGCAGTGCCTACACCACGGCGGTAGGTACCGGGCACCCGCGTGCGAGGGCGCGCAGGTGGGTGGGCCAGGCCTGGGACTGGGAGCCGGGGCAGTTGCCCGCCCCTTGGCCCTCCACTCCTGCCCGTCTTTCCTCGAAAAGATCCTGCAGCACCAGGCGGCCCTGCTGGCGGCGGCACAGGGCCCAGGCCTAGGCCCGGTGGCGGCAGTGGCGGCCCAGATGCAGCACGTGGCAGCCTTCAGCCTGGTGGCTGCGCCTCTGTTGCCCGCAGCAGGTACCGCGCCCAGGGACTGGGGCGCGCCTGGGAGGGGCCGGCGGGGCGGGGCGGGGCGGCTGCCTGATTCTCCGACCTCTTCCGCCATCAGCAGCCAACTCTCCACCCGGCAGCGGTCCTGGCACCCTCCCAGGTCTACCGGCGCCCATCGGGATCAATGGATTCGGCCCTCTGACCCCCCAGACCAACGGGCAGCCGGGCTCCGACACGCTCTACAATAACGGACTGTCCCCTTACCCAGGTGGGCCCCCCCACTCCGCCCAAATCCCCCCCGAAATGGAGTGGGGAGCCGGGATAGGGGGGCATTGGGAGGTTGGACCCGGCTTCCCTGGGAAGAGAGCCCTCCCTTTCCCTGCTGCCTTTCACAGCCGCCCTCTACCTCCCACACTCCCTGAGCTTCTCACCCACTCTGCTTGCCCGCCTGCCTTCACCATGGGCCTTGCGCCCCTCTCTCCCCAGCCCAGAGCCCCGGCGTGGCTGACCCCCTGCAGCAGGCCTACGCTGGGATGCACCACTACGCAGGTTTCACTTGGCGCTACGCGGCCTGGGGGAGGTTGAAGGGCCCCAAAAAGAAATAGGGAGATTTGTGGGGGATTTAGACTCTGTTCCAAGGAGTTGATCCTCCCATCCCCCTACCCCCAGAACGACCTCTCTTGGGGTGAGGGTTATGGTGGACTGGGCTGAATTGGTCAAAAGCGTCCAGGCAGATGCGGCCCTGCTCGGGGAACTGCTTGCTCCTGGGGATCACGGCCCACTTCCCCCTCTGTCTCCAGCAGCCTATCCATCGGCCTATGCCCCGGTGAGCACAGCTTTTCCCCAGCAGCCTTCAGCCCTGCCCCAGCAGCAGAGAGAAGGTGAGGGACTGGGGGCTGGAGAGCAGAGCCTTGGGGGGCTGGACTCAGGGTCCCTCCCCTGAACCAGCCTGCTACCGTTCCTGCAGGCCCGGAAGGCTGTAACCTCTTCATCTATCACCTGCCTCAGGAGTTTGGTGATGCGGAACTCATCCAGACATTCCTGCCCTTTGGAGCTGTTGTCTCTGCCAAAGTCTTTGTGGATCGAGCCACCAACCAGAGCAAATGTTTTGGTGAGCTGAGAACCTACCCCTAGGCCTCTCCCACCTCTAACTATTAAGGATTCCCTGCAGATCCTACAATTGTCCTTCCATAAGGCAGTGATTTCCTGAGGTTCAATGTATGGCACAAAATGGGGTCCCAAACCAGTGATGGGGCTAAGCTTAGGCCAAGAACAAACCTTGGTCGGGCGCAGTGGCTCATGCCTGTAATCTCAGCACTTTGGGAGACCGAGGTGGGCGAATCACTTGAGGTCAGGAGTCTAAGACTAGCCTGGCCAACATGACGAAACCCTGACTCTACTAAAAATACAAAAATTAGCTGGGCATGGTGATGGGAGCCTGTAATCCCAGGTACTCAGGAGACTTAGGCAGGAGAATTCCTTGAAACCAGGAGGGAGAGTTTGCCGTGAGCCGAGATGGCACCACTGCAGTCCAGCCTGGGCAACAGAACAAGACTCAATCTCAAAAAAAAAAAAAAATAAAAAAGAACAAACCTTATTTCAGGCTTACCTGGACGATCAGGTGTCCACCAGGAATGTGGCCAGCTAGGTCAGGGCTTTGGAGTCTGGCCAGGGCAGGAGGAGTCTGGTTCTGAGACCAGAGATCCCCTCCAACTCCAATTGTGGCTCTGAGGACCAGAATGGGAACGTGGAGGGAGACAGCCAACCCATGCCAGGAAAAACACAAAACACCCCAATCAACACCCTGACCCTGCACACACGCTCAGAGTTGCCTCCCATCCTTCTAAGAATCACCCCTTTAAGAATCTCAGGCCATCTGCCTATGAATTTGTATCCATGTGTGTACACAAACAGTGGTGGGGTATGTGTTTGATGGTACTGGCCTCAGGGGGCTGGAAGAGGAGGAGGCTGGTAGAGAGAAAGGAGGCCCTGCCAGGCAGAGTTCCCAGCTAACCTCTTTGCCCACACCCTCCAGGGTTTGTTAGTTTTGACAATCCAACTAGTGCCCAGACTGCTATTCAGGCGATGAATGGCTTTCAAATTGGCATGAAGAGGCTCAAGGTGCAGCTAAAGCGGCCCAAGGATGCCAACCGGCCTTACTGACCGGCTCTCACCGGCCAGCCACAGAGAGGTGAGTCTCTGATGGACCCCAGGCATATGACGCCTGAGTGATGACGCCCTCCCAGCTTTGATGCTCCTCCTTTTGGGGCCTTGGAGGCACCCACCTCGGAGATAGAAAGAAGAGGCAGGAGCTAGGAGGAATCCTCAGATGGAGACTTTGTGCTTTTCCTTCAATCCAAGGACTGAGATCAATTAGACAACATTCCTGCTGTGCAGACTAGGAGACCATCAGAGTCTTTCTGCCTGGGGAAGCCGTTCTACTCCAGAGATAGCCGATGAGACTAGAGAGCCTGTATGTGGGGAGGGTCCAGGAGGCTGGAAAATGAGACTAGAAAAGTGGATTTGGGCCAGTTTTCAAGAGTCTGAAAGGCCGTGAGTTTGGACTTTATCCTGAAGACAAGAAAGAACTCTCGAGGAGTTTAAGCAGAGAAAGAACTAGAAGTAAGGGCTGTTATAATGGCAGTGAACATGGGGATGGAGAAAGAGAAGCAAACATTCTTTAGAGGTAGAATCTGCAGGGCATGGTAGGTGATGAGGGGAGAGATGAGCCAGGTTCTTCTACCTTTTTAGCAAGGTCATGGGTCCATAGGATGCTACCTGCAACTTTTAGAGATTTTCTGTCTCTGAAGGCCCACATGGCCCTGCCTCACTTTTGAGCTACACCAGGAGCTTTGTGGAGGGGATATGGGGTTGGGGTCTCCTGCTGAGGATTCAGAGTCTGGTTTCAGTGGACCAGCCTGCTGCCTGGGCCCTGCTCCTGCCCTGCTCCTTGGGAAGAGGGGTCCAGCCACTCACCTGAGATGTCACTGACGGGGGCAAGCTGCTCTTCTGGTCTTGCCCTCCAAAGTGATTTTTGCCTTTTTCCCCCTCCCTTCTTATCCATGAATACTCAACAACAGAAACAGAAGAGTGAGAAGAAAGGAGAGGAAAAGCACAGAAGCGCTTGAGCAGCTCTTCCCGAAGGCGCAGCTGCGGACAGAGGTGGATCGGACCCAAGGCTGGTGCCTGGGGCTAAGGCCACGCTAAGGACTGTTTTTATCAAGTGGGTTGTCTGTGCCTGCAGCCGAGAGCTCAGGCTGGCAGAGCAACTAGGGCTGGCTGAGGAGTGACTGTCCAGGGGAACCAGCAGAGGGCGCTGGGGATGCCAAGGGCTTCTCCACTGGGGACGCCCAGATTTACTTCTTTCAAAATCATATCATTCCTTAGAGTTTAGGGACCAAAGGACTATTGCTTTTTTAAGAATATATATATATATATATAAATTAAAACAAAGAAAAAAGAGAAACAACAAAAAAAGACAGTTTAGAGTCTCATAAAAGCTGCCTTTAAATATCCCTAGGAGACAGGGTGAAGGAGACCTTAGACAGCCCCAGTCTAGGCAGAGGGAGGCTGTGGAAAGATTGTTCTGTGTCTCATTCCCTCTTAAGCCACTTCCCCACCCTGCCCTTTTAAAAGTAATTAAGAATGTGAGGTCTAGGCTCACATGCGGGTAATGAGAAAGTTATGGACGCAGTGAACTCGCAATCCACAATCCCCAAACTCAGAGTGCATCCCGGAAGAGGCCCCAGGCGGAGCTCAGGCCTGCCCTGGTCTTTGCCATCCCAGGAGGCCCGCTAGCCAGCAAGAGTGGGACTGCCTTTTCTGTGGAACCGCTGCTTCCCCAGGCAGGAAGAAAGAGGGAGTTCTGGCCACCTGAGGCTTTCCCTTACCAATCCAGGTAACAGAGGCCCTGCCTTTGGCTGAGCTGAGACACCTCCTGTTTCCCCTCCCCTTGAACCAGTCCTAGTGTCCTCTTGCTTCAGGCTACCTTCTGTCTCTTAGTCTAAGTTTGCCCACCTGTAAAGTAGATTCAGGATATCTGTAGAGGGCTGGGACAACAGACTTAGAAGGTTTGCTACTGTATATACTGCCATTGAGAAGGGGAAATTTTTCAATATGTAGAAGCTTCAGAATTAGAGGTCCCTCTTTACCCCGGACCTGGGAGGGAAGTAGATGTTTTGCCAAAATACTTCTTCATTCCTTTAAAAAGTACATCTTTCCTATGCAAGAGTGTCTCACATGTGCTTAACCGAGGTGCTTCTAGTTGGTGAGCAGTGTTGAGCTTAGAAGTGGTGTGTGCTCTGTCTGTCTGTCTTTGTCTGTCTGTTGTATACAGTGGGTGCCATATAAAGCTGATCAATGGTGGTGCTTCCTGCCTGCTTCTGTGAGATGGGCAAACGATTCAGCTTAGAACACCATGACTCACCTTGCCTTGGTCAGCCTTTCCTGGGCCTGCAGGGCCTTCCACATATTTTTCCCAGGAGAATTTCCCCTCCACCCCACAGACATGAATCAGCTTAGTCTGAGGCCCTAGCTGTGCTGTCTAGGGTCACTCTAATCCCCAGATGTTGCTGAGGCTGAAGGCCTCTGATCTGATAACACATCAGATAGCAAAAGATGTGGGAGTGGGGTTGGAGGGCTCCTCCTTCATAACAGTTTCTAAGAAAACCTGTTCCCACCTGTTCCTCTGTCTTCGACTCATTTTTGGAGGGAATGGGAATGAAACACAGATCTGGCAATAATATTACCAGGTAAGGTGTGGTGGACATCCACAAGTATTTTCCAACTGAGAGAAGAACCAGAGGGTATGTGTACACCAACACAATGCTGACTCCTAGAGTGACCACCCTGGAGACAAATAGAGACACACAGTACCTGTACCCTCCATATTCACGTGGAGGCACAGAGTCCCCTCAGGCTAGCTGCTAAGCACTGTGCTACATGTTGGGAATCAGGCGTGTTCCAAGGACTGGGAGTTAAGGGGAAAGAGAGACAAAGAATGCAGTTATCATGCAGGGCCATAGAAGGTCTGTGCTCACAAGAAGAAGAGCACCTAATTCAGACTTTACTGGTGGGAGAAGTCTGTGAAATACTTTCTGAAGGAGATTAAGAGGGGGAAAAGTCTTTAAGGAAGAACTGGGGCTGGGCATGGTGGCTCACGCCTGTAACCCAAGCACTTTGGAGGCCAAGGCAGATGGATCACCTGAGGTTGGGAGTTCAAGACCAGCCTGATTAACATGGTGAAACACCATCTTTAAGAAAAAAAAAAAAAAAAAAAAAAGAAAACAAAAAAGGAAGAGCTGGGATTTAGACAAAGCCATTTAGACAGCTGCATCATTTTGGAAAATTATCTTTATTACCAAGAAATAATAATGATTACCATTTATTCCGTGCCTGTTGCATGGCAGATAATGGGCACACGACAAGACCCTTTTCCCATTCCTAACTCTACCCTGAACCTTACCTTGACTGAGTCATGTCAAGACACTTGAATCAAAATGGCATTTAGAATATCTGGCTTCATACTTTAGAGTATGGGCCAGGGACTGGCAGACTATGTGATTCCAAAGCTTCAAGGGTTGACATGGTCTAGATTAGGGGTTGGCAAGCTATGGCTTGTGGGCCACATCTGGCTTGTGGCCTATTTTTATATAAACTACAAAACTAAGATTTTTTTTTTTGACATTTTTAAAGGGTTGTCAAAACAAGAAAGTGAAGCAGTGACCATATATGGCCCACACAGCCTAAAATATCTATCTTGTCCTTTAGACAAAAAGTTTGCTGACCTCTGGTAAGATCATGGAAGACTTATATAATGTCTGATGAGTTTGAACAATATGGTGTTTGTGTCTCTTTGTGTGCATGTATTAGTCTGGACCTTTTCAGTTGCAAGTGTCGGAAACGCAGCTCAAACATGTTTAGGCCAATTGGAAACTAATTGGTTTATATAACTGATAAATCAAAGGCTGTATCTGCCTGAAGCATGGCTGGATCTAGGGATTCAAAGGATGATGTCTCCATCTCTTGGCTCTGCTTCCTCATTAGTTCTAGTTCTAAAATCCCAGGGAGGACTTTGGCCAGCTTTGGACACATGCCCACCACTAGGATGGAAGAGTAGACCATCATAATTGACAACTTCATCAGGACTGTATGGAGGGGGAGAAATGTGTCCCCAAGGAAGGGATGGTGGGCAGATAAATGATAAGCATCCACTATATCCCACCCTCTATTGCATTCACCTATACTTTTCCTGACAAACACAATTTCACAAATGTGCCTGCCTGACAATGCGATAATCCTAGACCCAACAAAAACCACATTCACCGATTTCCCAATGGGAGATAAAACAGAATCACAGGGCTGGGTACGGTGCTCACGCCTGTAATCCCAGCAGTTTGGGAGGCTGAGGCAAGCGAATCACCTGAGGTTGGGAGTTGAGACCAGACTGACCAACATGGAGAAACCCCGTCACTACTAAAACTGCAAAATTAGCTGGACATGGTGGTACATGCCTGTAATTCCAGCTGCTCGGGAGGCTGAGGCAGGAGAATTGCTTGAACCCGGGAGGTGGAGGTTGAGGTGAGCCGAGATCGTGCCATTGCACTCCACCTTGGGCAACAAGAGAAAACTCCATCTTAAAAACAAACAACAACAACAACAAAACAAAAACAAAAACAAACAAACAAAAAAAACAGAATCACATCCAGTTGCTTTACTGAGTCCTCAGTCCAGGGTTCCTTGGTGATGGGCAATTTCTGCTCAGGTCTGGATATGACTTCTTAAGATTTTACAATCTATGGGTAAAAGATAAACTTAACTACCCCATACTTGCCTTATAACCAATGTGAAATAATGGAAAGAGGATAACAATTTGTTTTAAAGAGATGGGTCTTGCTCGTAGTTCACATGCCTGTAGTGCCAGTTATTTGAAAGGCTGAGGTGGGAGAGTCACCTGAGCCTGGGAAGCTGAGGCTGCAGTGAGCTGTGATTGCACCACTGCACTCCAGCCTGGGTGACAGTGTAAGACCCTGTCTTAAGGAAAAAAATTTTAAAGTTCAATGAGAATGCCTGATGAGCAACTTTTGTAATTGTTCCCCTCCCCTGATTTGTGTCTTTTTCTTTAAAAAGTTGAGCCTCTCTGGCCGGGCGCAGTGGCTCACGCCTGTAATCCCAGCACTTTGGGAGGCCGAGGCGGGTGGATCACGAGGTCAAGAGATCGAGACCATCCTGGTCAACATGGTGAAATCCCGTCTCTACTAAAAATACAAAAATTAGCTGGGCATGGTGGCGCATGCCTGTAATCCCAGCTACTCAGGAGGCTGAGGCAGGAGAATTGCCTGAACCCAGGAGGCAGAGGTTGCGGTGAGCCGAGATTGCACCATTGCACTCCAGCCTGTGTAACAAGAGTGAAACTCCGTCTAAAAAAAAAAAGTTGAGCCTCTCCTTTGTTCCCCAGAGCACTCTCCATAACAACCTGAAGTATGGCCAGGGCTACAGTCCTCAACCTTGGCCCAAATAAATTCTCTATATTAAAAAAAAAAGAGAGAGATGGGTCTTGCTAATGTTGTCAAGGCTGGACTTGAACTTCTGGCCTCAAGCAATTCTCCTGCCTCAGCCTCCTGAGAAGCTGGGACTACAAATACCCACCACTGAATAATTTTTAAATTAAGATGGGTTCTTGCTCTGTTGCCCAGGCTAGATTTGAGCTCCTAGGCTCAGGTGATCCTCTCACCTCAGCCTCCTGACTAGCTGGGACTACAGGTGCATGTCACTGCACCTGGCTGTAATAGTTTTTTAAAAACCTTCCATTTTGGCCAGGCGCGGTGGCTCAAGCCTGTAATCCCAGCACTTTGGGAGGCTGAGGCGGGTGGATCACGAGGTCAAGAGATCGAGACCATCCTGGTCAACATGGTGAAACCCCGTCTCTACTAAAAATACAAAAAATTAGCTGGGCATGGTGGCGCGTGCCTGTAATCCCAGCTACTCAGGAGGCTGAGGCAGGAGAATTGCCTGAACCCAGGAGACGGAGGTTGCGGTGAGCCGAGATCGCGCCATTGCACTCCAGCCTGGGTAACAAGAGCGAAACTCCGTCTCAAAAAAAGAAAAAAAAAACCTTCCATTTTGAATAGGGGAGAAGAGAATACAATGGCCATTAATCTACAGCATATAAAACATCCTCTGGACAGTGCAGTGAATTTCTTGGTCAACAAAACCTACTGTTTTTGGTCCTTTCCACTAGGAAATGTCCCCTTTGTCCATTATTCTTTATGGACATCCCTGAGAGGATGGACCTTTGGATCTGAAGCATCCTACTTCCCTTTTGACATGGTTTTGACTTTATTTATTGAGACAGAGTCTTGCTTTGTTGCCCAGGCTGGAGTGCAGTAGTGCAATCTCAACTTACTACAACCTCTGCCTCCTAGGTTCAAGCGATTCTCATGCCTCAGCCTCCTGAGTAGCTGGGATTACAGGTGCCCACTGCCACACCTGGCTAGTTTTTGTATTTTTAGTAGAGATGGGTTTCACCATGTTGGCCAGGCTGGTCTTGAACTCCTGGCCTCAAGTGATCCACCAGCCTCAGCCTCCCAAAGTGCTGAGATTACAGGTGTGAGCCACCGTGCCCAGCCAGTTTTGGGTTTAAAGACTGCCTTAGAGATTAAGCATTCCCAGATGTTTGTCAGTTGTGAGGATTCTCTGATTCGTGGGCTTTCTGTGAGCTGGTAACCATCATCAGGAATCCATTGATAATGTCCTGCTCCATGAGTCTCAATCTAGCTCATGTGATTTCTTTGTCTTAGCAACAGGTCACACTGGCCATTCCCCACCCCTCAGCTTCATGGCTTCCATAATGGCCTGTCTATGGTGGGAAGTCAATCTTAATCTGCTCACTACCCACAAAGAGAGATTACCCATTCAACACTTGGCCAGCTCATGCTCTAGTGATCTTGGTCTTGACCAGACAGTCAAAATCCCTGAGCAGTACTGGCTCCTAGGCCTCAGCCCCAAGGAGATGCGTAGGACAGGATGGAAGCAACCAGTCAAGCACTCTCGGGCCAGGAACCTGCAGCTTGCTGTACTCCTCCGGCTCTGACTATGGCCCATTATTACCCTGAGGCCACATTTTCAAAAGACTCCTCAGGGGAGTCTATCAGTTGACACAGAATTTGGGGAACCCTCTGAGAACCTCTAGAACTTGGGCAGAGTCTTCAGCCTCCAGCAGAGCCCCTAGAATGAATTTCTCTTGCTGGATGCAACCTGGGTGTCTTGGATGTGGGGAGAAAAGACCTCTGGTCTGAGATAGGACCTCTTAGTCACCTCTGACCTTGAAGCAGCTCTGATTTTACTATGTGCTCTGACCAGACCTGGGGGCTCACCCCGGCCTCAGGGGAGCAGAACATGTATGGAATACCTTCCAAAAGAGGGTGCCATGATGAGATCACAGAATCTTACTTGATCCTTTCCAGCTTGGGCTGTAATCCTTCAGCAACCACTGTCCTGACTGCACTTGCCTCCATCTTGACATAGCCAAACCCAGCAGGGACTCAGGGGCTGTTTCTGGCCTCTGGGCCACATTCTATGGCCAGTATATTTGCACAGCCCTGTATTATTTGGAGGAAACCCCATGAGATCCGGGAGCTAAGAGCCAATGTGGGCCATGCAGCTGCCCTTCCAGCCTGCAGCCTGAGCCAGCCAGGATCTGCAAAGAGGTGGCCAAGTCTGTGCCAAGTGCAAACTAAGAAGGGGCAGAGGGCCACACTTTTTCTCTGTAGCCCTAACTCCAGACACAGCTATTACGGCAACCTCTGCCCTCTAGAAACCTCAGCTGATCAAGGCCTTTGACTGGCCATCCGTAGAGGGGACTTTGAACTTCCAGACTCTGGTCTCCTGCCCTCTAGTTGCCTAAAAGCATAAAACTCAGAAGCCAGAACAGTCCACAAGCCTGGCTCTGGCTTTTCCCAAGGGATATCTCCGGTGCTCAGCATAAAATGCAAGACAGTAATGAGCCTCAGCCTCCTGGGGAGTGGTCCTGAGATGGCCTGACCCGGTCACCTGACACTGGACTCCTGAGAGGAAGCCGGCAATCTGGGCTGGATTCCCTGCATTTGGGTAGGAAAACTCAGCTGTGTCCTTGGGACCTTTATGTTACCCCACTGCTGGGACTTAATATAGGATGTGGGCTTTGCTTTTGTCTCCATATCTGAACCCCAGTACTCTAGAAAGCAGATTCTGAGGTAAGTGCTGACATTTTGGGGGAGGTGGAAGTCCAGGATGGTGAAAGGGAGAAGAGACGGAGGCAGTGGGAGACGATGCAGGACTATGCTGGCTGCCACTTCGTGTGAGCCATGAGGAGAGAGCAGGTCACCTGTCAGACTTGTTTGCCAAGCACATCGTGTTTTCAAGGAGGAAGGGCATCTTGGAGCAGTTCACCAAGGGGAGATTTGAGAGGGAATTAATGCTTCTTTTCCCCTCTTCTGTTTTCTGTTGGCCAAGATACCACCCCACAAGAAGCTAACTCCCCTGCACCTCTCAGCTGCATCATTTGCTCCCTGGGTGGCTGCTGGGAAGTCAGCTCCCATGGCCTGCTGTGTGGCATTTCTACTAGAGACGTGGAAGTAGAAGGGCTGCTTAGCACAGGCTGGATGCCAACCAAGAGAGAGAAAGAAGGAGGTGGCTTAGGTAACCCAAGAAGATGCATGAAGTTCGTGCCCAGTACATCCCATTCTCTCCCACAGAATTCACAGCCAAAGTCTCCAGGCACCAGAACCCCCAACACTGTCTGGATTCCAAGTCAAATACATCTTATTTATTTTGGGAGGAAAGGGAAGCATTCAGGTTGGAGGATCAGGATTCTCCCACTTTTTCTCCTGGAACTTTCCAGACCCTAAACTTACTCCAATATTTCCTACTGAATTTCCTACCTCTAGGCCTTTGTTCTTACCCACTTTAGCTTGGGGAAAAGGTTTTGGCCTTTATAGTCTACAAGATGCATGATTATTTGACCTTTAGCAGTCTGGATTGCTGGTCAAAAGCAGAAAAGGTGGCCTGGCGCAGTGGCTCATGCCTCTAATCCCAGCACTTTGGGAGGCTGAGGCGGGCAGACCACGAGGTCAGGAGTTCAAGACCAGCCTGACCAACATGGTGAAACCCGCTTTCTACTAAAAATGTAAAAATTAGCTGGGTATGGTGGTACACACCTGTAATCCCAGCTACTCAGGAGGGTGAGCAGGAGAATCTCTTGAACCCAGGAGGCAGAGGTTGCAGTGAGCCGAGATCATGCCATTGCACTCCAGCCCGGGCAAAAGAAAAAACCCCCCCCCCAAAAAAAAAAAAAAAAAAAAGCAGAAAAGGCAACTCTGAACAAAACTGTATAGTGTTTTGTTTCTGTCAGTATGGAGGAAAGTCAAACTGGAGGACCTTATTGAAAATCTCAAGAAGAGGTCAATGTACTCCAACATCCAAATGGCTTTTTTTCCCAGTGCATCTCTGAAATCTCCCTTTGATGGATACATGACTTGAATCTCAAGATAAAATAGATGATCACTTAACCAGCTGGTTTGATACCAAATAGCAGGGATTTCCAGTTTCCCAGCCAGGTGGAGATCTCCACTGCCTCAACTTCACTTCAGTGCCATCAGTTCAATTCTTCATTCCATTTCTGTATTAGGACTGATTTAATAGCAACTTCGAGGAACCAAGATAAACCAGCTTACGCAGGACGAGAACTGAGAAGTGTGGTGGTATTACTGACCTCAGGTGGGGCTGACCTCAGGGGCTCAAACAATGTCATCAGATCGCTCTTATTCCATTTCTCAGAGCTCTGCTTCCCTTTATGCCTTGGCTGCGTTCTCTGTCCTGTGGCAGGGAGAGCTGGGTGCCAGCAGTTTCAATCTCATATCCTCTTAGCACATTGACCTCAAAAGCAAGAGAGCTTTGAGCAGAGGATTATGATTGGCTTTATTCAGGTCGCAAACCCACACCTGAACTAATTACTTTGGTTAGGATGATGGAGTCCTTTGCCTGGCTTGATGGGTCATGCATCCATCTGTGTGGGGTGGAAGGGGGCAGGAGGTGGTATTGTGAATGTCAGCCTCACTAAGTACTAATACTTACAAAATATAATAGTATGTCCTGCATGGCCTATAGCAATGTATAATCTGGCCAGGCTGGAGAGTGGGATGCATGTAAGGGGTGGTGAATCAAATAGGGTCATAGCTGTAGAAAGGATATATTTATCCTGAGAGCAGTAAGGAGACATTGAAGGGTTTTATTTTTATTTTATTTTATTTTATTTTATTCTTTGAGACAGCGTCTCACTCGGTTGCTCTGGCTGGAGTGCAATGGTGTGATCTCAGCTCACTGCAACCTCTGCCTCCTAGGTTTAAGCAGCTCTCCTGCCTCAGTCTCCTGAGGAGGTGGGATTACAGGAAACAACCACCACGCCCGGCTAATTTTTTTTTTTTTTTTTTTGAGACGGAGTTTCACTCATGTTACCCAGGCTGGAGTGCAATGGCGCGATCTCGGCTCACCGCAACCTCCGCCTCCTGGGTTCAGGCAATTCTCCTGCCTCAGCCTCCCGAGTAGCTGGGATTACAGGCACGCGCCATCATGCCCAGCTGATTTTTTGTAGTTTTAGTAGAGACGGGGTTTCACCGTGTTGACCAGGATGGTCTCGATCTCTTGACCTCGTGATCCACCCGCCTCGGCCTCCCAAAGTGCTGGGATTACAGGCTTGAGCCACCGCGCCCGGCCTAATTTTTCTATTTTTAGTAGAGATGGGGTTTTGCCATGTTGGCCAGGCTGTGGTGAAAAGTATTGTTGAAAATATTTTCAGTAGAAATTTTAGGGAGAGGTCGGATGACACCAGATTTAATTCCTGACCTCAAGTGATCCAAATGCCTTGGCCTCCCAAAATGCTGGGGTTACAGGCATGAGCCACGGGGTCTGGCCCATGGAAGGGTTTCAACAGAGGAGTGACATGACCATATTTGAGTTTTAGAGAGATCCCTTAAGTAGCTAAGTGGAGAGCAGATTGGAGGAGTAGATACTGGATAAGGAGTCTACGAGGAGGCAAATGCAGTAATTCTGGTAGGGAGAAATAGGAATACAGGCCGGGCGCGGTGGCTCACGCCTGTAACCCCAGCACTGTGGGAGGCCGAGGCGGGTGGATCACGAGGTCAAGAGATCGAGACCATCCTGGTCAACATGGTGAAACCCTGTCTCTACTAAAAATACAAAAAAATTAGCTGGGCATGGTGGCGCGTGCCTGTAATCCCAGCTACTCGGGAGGCTGAGGCAGGAGAATTGCCTGAACCCAGGAGGCGGAGGTTGCGGTGAGCCGAGATCGCGCCATTGCACTCCAGCCTGGGTAACAAGAGCGAAACTCCGTCTCAAAAAAAAAAAAAAAAAAAGAAATAGGAATATAAAGGAGGGATCAATTTAAGATGTACTTATCTGCTCACACTTGTAATCGGAGCACTTTGGGAGGTCGAGGTGGGAGGATAACTTTAGGCCAGGAGTTTGAGACCAGCCTGGGCCACAAAGTGAGACCCTATTTACTACTCCCCAGGAGGCTGAGACTCATTCCACAGGCTTTTTTTTTAAGTCTCTTGCATTTTCTGCTGAGTATCTAATATATCCCTTGGGAAGGCCGGGCGCTGTGGCTCATGCCTGTAATCCCAGAACTTTGGGAGGCCGAGGTGGGAGGATCACAAAGTCAGGAGTTCGAGACCAGCCTGACCAACATGGTGAAACCCCGTCTCTACTAAAAATACAAAAATTAGCTGGGCGTGGTGGCAGGTGCCTGTAATCCCAGGTACTCAGGAGACTGAGGCAGGAGAATTGCTTGAATCTGGGAGACAGAGGTTGCAGTGAGCTGAGAACACGCCGTTGCACTCCAGCCTGGGTGACAGAGCAAGACTCCATCTCAAAAAAAAAAAAAAAAAAAAAATCCCTTGGGAAAAGCCAGACCCAGGCTTGTGGCCTGTTCTGCCTTCTGAGTCTCAGTGCTTTTAGGCAGCTAGAGGGAAGGAGGCCAGAGTCTGAAAAAAAAAGAAGATGTATTAAGATGTAAAATTTAGGATGTTTTTAAGGTGAAATTGGTTCTGTTTAAATAAGGATGGGAGAAGTCTAAGATGCTTTCTTCTCAGGGTTCAGGCTGAATAAACCACAGGTGAGATTTACTAAGCTAGGAACATGAAAGAAACACAGTGAGAAGATGTTTGCCTATGTAATATCCAAGTGGAGCTGTCCCAAAGACAACTTGTCCAAAGGAAACTGAAACTCAGGAAGTACAGGATGGGAATATAGATTTGGGAGTTGCAGTCTATAACTGTGTGTCACACAGGCGGATTTTAAAAGAGCCATTTGTTTAAAGGGCACTAGGTGGGTCACAGGATTGCCAGGCAGGAGACCCAAGCTTGGAAAACAGGCAGGAACAATGAGAGGCCAGTCCACCAGAGCGCAGGCCAAATTCAGATGCCAGAACCAGCCCCTGAAAACCACTGCCCCCATCATCATTATTGGACATGGGATATCACCGCCACCAGTACCCACACCATGAGAGTCCCTGGGCATGGGGTAAAGCTGACCCTGCCCTCATGTCACCACTGCCACTATTTCTCTAAATCACTTACTCCAGAATCTACATTTCTGGACAATGCTTGGCCAGGCCTATGTCACATGCCTCTGTCTTAGCTAGAGAGCTGGGAAAGTACAGATCCAACCTTTTCAGTATCTGCCATGAAAGATGGGCTCTGCTTACTTCCAAGACTTGTAACATAAGAAGAAGATTCAGTTTCTGGGCAACCCCAAATTACCAAGATCTCCTTCAAGTGGCCATGGAGGCCACCGGGAAGAGCAAAAGGAGAAATGGGTATGGGCTGAACTGCTTCTGTATTTAAGTAGGGAATGATGGAAAGGGAGTATGATAAGGATACTGTGAAGGAACCATATGAGGTGTAGGAAGAAACGGGATGAGTATAACCCATAAAAGCCAACAGAGGAAAGGGTTGCAGGGTCAGAATGATCAACAGTGCCAGATGACACTGTGCGGTCAATTGCAGGGGCAGGATGATTGACAATGCCAAATGACACTGTGTGTCATAAATTAAGCCTGAACATTTCCAATGGATTTGTCCATTTGCAAGTCATCTGTCATTTTGGTGAAAGTATTTTCAGTAGAAATTTTGGGGAGAGGTCAGATGACACCAGATTGAAGGAAGAGTCGAAGACAAGGAAGTGGACAGGGAGAGCATAGACTACTCCCAGAAGCTTGGTTGAAGGTAAGAAAAATCAGTAGCGTGGCATATGGGATTCAAATTAGATTTTCATTTTAAGGTTGGGCCAGTTGATCAAGTTTATATACCAAGATCAAAGAGTAGGGGAGAGGAAAAAGTCGAATATAAGTGAAAGAGAGAGGTAAGTGAAGGAGTAAATTTCCTGAAGAGGCAAAAAGGAAAGAAATACAGATCATAGTAGGATTAACTTTGTATTTGAAGAGAGACCTCTCCGCTTCTGAAATAGAAAGGATGGGAGAGATTCAAATGCTTGGAGGGGACAGAAAATTGAGGCAGTTCCCCCATGGCCTTTTTTTACTAAAGAGATGAGAAGTCTCACTCTGTTGCTGAGGCTGGAGTGCAGTGGCATAACCACAGCTCACTGTAGCCTTGAACTACTGGGCTCCGGAAATCCTCCTGCCTCAGCCACCCACGTAGCTGGTACCCATAGTCTTTTTTTTTTTTTTTTTTCTGTGAAGCAGAATTGGGGATGGCGGGAGAGGCTGACATGTGGAAGGGCTACTGGGTACACTGAGGGTTCTGCTGAGGAAACAGTGAATTTGTAGGAGCGCTGTACTAAGTGCATATTAAGCTAGTTTAAGCCATTTATTTTATTCTTTTTTTTATCTTTTTTTTTATTTTTACCATCCTGGTGTTTGAGACGGAGTTTCACTCATGTTACCCAGGCTGGAGTGCAATGGTGTGATCTCGGCTCACCGCAACCTCCGCCTCCTGGGTTCAGGCAATTCTCCTGCCTCAACCTCCTGAGTAGCTGAGATTACAAGGACGCGCCACCACACCCAGCTGATTTTTTGTAGTTTTAGTGGAGACGGGGTTTCACCACGTTGAGCAGGATGGTCTCGATCTCTTGACCTCGTGATCCACCCGCCTCGGCCTCCCAAAGTGCTGGGATTACAGGCGTGAGCCACCGCGCCCGGCCGAGCCATTTATTTTAGATGAAAAGTGACTCCTAGTCCCCCAAGATCAAAAGGCCTCAGAAAGTGCCAGGGCCAGGCGTGATGGCTCACACCTGTAATACCAGCACTTCGGGAGATCAAGATGGAGGACTGCTTGAGCCCAAGAGTTCAAGATCAGCCTGGGCAACATAGGGAGACCCTATCTCCACACAAAATAATATTTTTAGTTAGCCAGATAAGTTAGCGCACACTTGAGCCTCGGAGGCTGCAGTAGGCAATGATCACAGCACTGTACTCCAGCCTGGGTGATAGAGTAAGACCCTGTCTCAAAAGACAAGAAAAGACAGGAAGGAAGGGAGGGAGGGAGGAGGGAGGGAGGGAGGAAGGAGGGAAGGAGGAAGGAAGGAAGGAGAAGGAAGGAAGGGAGAGGTGCCTGGGAAGCTGACAGGAAGCAGAGAGTAGTCTCACCATTTCTGGTCTCTGCCTCTCCATGCTTCATTCTGTGTCCCCAGATGGTCTTTTTCCTTTTCTCCTTCATCATAGTAGGTGGATGTACCATAGCTCCTGAGTCTATGTCTCTTTTGCTTAAGAAACCAGTCCAGTTAGAATCATAATCTCTCAGCTCTAATCCCAGGTTTTTAGGCGAGAACATCTGCTTAACACAGCTTAGATCAGGAATCCACTTTCAGTTCAATAAACTGCAGCTAGAGTGCCAGGGGTCACACAAGACAAACATGGCCCTGAGGACTGTGGATACAGAGTGTGGGTGTGGAAACTATAATTCCCGCAGAATACGGTTCATGGGCTAGACTAACCTAAAATGCTGTCCACTCACAAGTTCGAGTGTGCCGGATTGGGTGATTTCTTTTATCCTGGTTTAGGATGGGAGACTAGAAAATGTAGATAGCTGGCATGATCCAGGAGTGTGATTTTTACAGAGTAAGTGCAAGTATATTAACAAAAATGTGATTGAAATGACTGACCAAAGATCTGGACTGGGTAGGAAAGGAGGTGAAGCCTGGAAGATACTGATGAACTCTGAGGTGGCTGAGATTCATGATGAATAGAAGAGCTGGTGATATGCTGGGAAGGGGGAATCCGAAAGGGGATTGAATACCGGAGCTTGACTTGTCACTCAACGTGGGCACAGTGCTTATGTTCAAACACTCCCAGACACACATGGCTCTCAAAAGCTGTTATGGGCCCCTTGATGGTGAGTTGTTTTAGAGAGCAGGCCCAACTCCTTCCCTTACTACTCTGAACTTCGGCACTCTGAAACCAACGCTATATTGAAACCGGGGCTATATTGATCCCTCACTTTTTTCAGTTACTATAAGCAATAGGTGTAACAAACTAATACTGACACAGTGTTGTGGCCCAGGCTGAGTGGCAAAGTGAGCAGGGGTGGACATCAAAAGGGGCAGGAGTTAAAATGGAGAGGCTGAGAATATGCGAATGTAAATCAACAGCAGCAACAACAAAAAGTTCACTGGGAAACTTCTGAGCTTAGGAGGGATAGACATGACATGTTTCTATCACTCAAGGCCAAAGCCTTCTTTATGTGTGCTGTGTCCAGCTACAATGACGGAGTGAGAAAGCAGAGTAGGTCTAAGATAAGCCTTTTCCCATTAGTGCTGATGGAAAAGAGGGGCATGCAGAAGCCCCAAGACTGTTAAGAATGAAGGAGGTCCATTCATGTCTAGGGTTAATAACCACAATTACAGCTTCCATACCGACTGCTTCCTAGTCCCAGGTACTCTGCTGCTTACTTTACATGGATTAGTTGGAATCGGATGAAATTGAAGGTATTTGACTGTTTATAAACTACAAAAATAGCAATTTCATACAGTTCAACCTGACACTATCTCAGTTCATCCTCACCACAAAGGCTCCATGAAACACGTATTACTGTCTCCACTTCAAAGAGGAGAAATCAGACCCAAAAGGTGAAAGTCTTTAAGACTGCTCTATTAAGTGCTGAACAAACCCAAGCTTCAGACCCAGATTGACTAGAAGGCCAGGGTGCTTTCCATCACGCTGCAGCTACCAGGGGAGCAAATGAGTTAAATGTAAGAATTTTATTTTTATGTATTTATTTATGTATATATTTATTTGAGACTGAGTCTCTGTCCATATTTATTTGTTTGAGACTGAGTCTCTTCTTTTCTTTCTTCCTTTCTTTCTCTCTCTCTCTCTCTCTCTTTCCTTTGAGACTATTTCTCTACCGTCCAGGCTGGAGTGCCGTGGTGCCATCTCAGCTCACGGCAACCTCTGCCTCTGGCTTCAAGCGATTCTCCTGCCTCGGCCTCCCAAGTAGCTGTGATTGCAGGCGCCCGCCACCACGCCCGGCTAATTTTTGTATTTTTAGTAGAGATGGTGTTTCGCCATGTTGGCCAGGCTGGTCTCGGACCCCTGACTTCAGGTCATCTGCCTTCCTAGACCTCCCAAAGTGCTGGAATTACAGGTGTGAGCAACCGCGCCCAGCCAAATGTAAGGATTTTTAAAAGCTGGAGATGTTTGACTTCCATTAGCGAACCAGAGAAACCTGCAGTCATCAGGGCCGCAGGACTTCCCATTCAATCTCTTATTTGTCTGCCCGAGCCTCCAGCAAGGGGACTCCCGCCCAGCCTGCAAGCAAACCGGGTTGCCCTCCCTGCTCATTCCTCCCAACCACACGGGGCGCCAAACGCAAGCATTCTCCTCTGGAAGGCTCTCCACACACCCTCGGAGTCCCTCTTCCTTCTCCACCTCCTCCCCTACCCACGGCGCAGGCGCCACCCCCCGCTCCACACCCCCTCCCGACTAGCCACGGTCGCGCAGGCGTCCCAGGGCTGGCGTCGGCGGCAGAGGCGCGCCCAGCAGCAGGCCGCCAGTCTGTTGGTCAGGAGCGGGCCACGTGCCATGGTGTCACCGCGCGAGTGTGCGCAGAGTGGCTGAGCGCGCCCGTGACGGAACGACGAGGCGTGGGGTGCGCGACCTCGCCCGCCAGGCCCGGCCCCCGCCCCTTGGCCCCCCGCTCCGCCCCCGCGGGGCGTCCCGGGCCGCTCGTCCCGTCGGCGGCGGCCGCGCCCGCGCGCGGCCCGGGGTCGCCGTGAGTACTCGGCCTGTGGGGCCGCCTCCACGGGCACGGGGCGGTGCGGCCGCGCCGCGGGCAGGGTGCAGGGCCCGCCCCGCCTCCGCAGGGGTGGACGAAGTGAGGGATTTGGACCGGGAGGTTCTGAGGGCCCTCCTAGGCTGGACAGGCTTCGCTCAGGCCCAGCGGCCGGGCAGCACAGATCGGGCACAGAGCGTCTTCCCTGGGGAGGCAGGTGTTGGGTGTCTTTGGGGTCTCCAGGGAAACCCAGGAGAACAGCTGTAAGTGCTTCCCCGGGAGAGGCCTCAGGGCCTGTCCTGGAAGCACGGGTACTGGAGAGTATTTTCGGGGACAGCCTTGTTCTCTCTCCCTACGGCATGCCGAAGATAGCGCTAACCTGCCGGAATCGCCCCTTCGTGGTTCTTCCCAGCAGTCTTTGTTTAGTGGCCTAGTCCTGAGAAGGGAGCACATGGGATGGAGCGGAGTAACCTCCTCTTCCAGGACCACAAAGCCGGAAGCCCAACCCAGAATTTAAACGTTGAGTTCTAAAGCTGCTTTGGCTAGATGTGAAGTTGTCACACCCAGGGAAGCGCCCATGGACCTAGGGGAAAGACCTTTGTGATCCAGACTTGAGGCTCATTTACATTTGTCTTATTCCCATGGAAATTCGTAAAGTGTTCTATATTAGCTGCTGAGTTTACCACCTTTTCTGGACACTCATCGTATAGTCTATTTTTGGCCCAACTTTTTTTGAAAGGTCCCATTCTTTACCTCATTTAGATAAATCAGATGGGCCTTTCTTAATTCATTAACAACCTAATTAATTATAACCACATCACATGAAGATTAGATGTCATTAGGACCTGTCCAATGTCTTTACGTCCCGGTCCTTCTGCACTCCTAACCTTAAGTGGCTTGACCTCTTTAGGTCTAAGTATCCTATACATAACATGAAAGCTTTGGATTAGGCCACTTTTCCTGCTTATTTTTTAAAAAAGTGTTTGTGATCCTGTAAATTCCATGACCCACCAACTTCCTTTTCCAACGCTTCACCTTTTAAATCCACTTTGCCCCTCTCCAGAGGAAAGGGCATTGAGAGTAGAGGGAGCAAGTCTTTTTCACTAAAGCAGCCTGGTTTGAAAAAGCTGGTAATCTCTGAACTGTCTCTTCCTTGATCAAGAAGAACCTCTCTCTTAACTACCTTTTTCTCCTTGTGATAGCAGCAGAAACCAAGCAGCAACAGCCCTTGGAAAGAGGCTAAATTTTTCTTGACTTCTGCAACGACAAAAACCGTGAAAAGTTGGACTTCTGGCCTAACGCTGCCATCATCCTGTCACTCATCCCAAGACAACCCAGGCTGGAGATTTAGTGCCTCCCTCTTTACTCCTCTGTGATCATCCAGATCAGCACTTGACTGTTGATTTGCAAATCTCGCAAACCTCGCCCCCAGATCTTCACATTCTGGTTCTCAGCTGCTCTTGAAGGTGAATGAAGTTTTGCTGTTTAAAATCAAGTTTGTGTGATTTTTGTCTATGTGTAGAAACATTTAGGCTAT